TCTGTGTATGGTGCCCCCCTCCTCATCTGTGTATGGTGCCCCCCTCATCTGTGTGTGGTGCCCCCTCCTCATCTGTGTATGGTGCCCCCCCTATGTATGGTGCTCCCCTGCTCTGTGTATGGTGCCCCCCTCCTCATCTGTGTATGGTGCCCCCCTCCTCATCTGTGTATGGTGCCCCCCCTCCTCTGTGTATAGTGCCCCCCTCCTCATCTGTGTATGGTGCCCCCCTCCTCATCTGTGTATGGTGCCCCCTCCTCCTCTGTGTGTGGTGCCCCCTCCTCTGTGTATGGTGCCCCCCTCCTCATCTGTGTATGGTGCCCCCTCCTCATCTGTGTATGGTGCTCCCCTGCTCTGTGTGTGGTGCCCCCTCCTCATCTGTGTATGGTGCTCCCCTGCTCTGTGTGTGGTGCCCCCTCCTCATCTGTGTATGGTGCTCCCCTCCTCATCTGTGTGTGGTGCCCCCCTCCTCATCTGTGTATGGTGCCCCCCTCATCTGTGTGTGGTGCTCCCCTCCTCATCTGTGTATGGTGCCCCCCTCCTCTTCTGTGTATGGTGCTCCCCTGCTCTGTGTGTGGTGCCCCCTCCTCATGCCGGTTCCACATCAGCCCTTCTTGCATCAACTCTCACCTGTGTGCTGTGGTCAATCAGGACCTGTGGCTTGTCATCCCCTGTGTGTGGCCTTCCCCCCCCCCCCCACTGTCACCATCACTAGGGTCCCATGCCTGGCCTGAGGGCTTGGGAGGAGGTGGGTAACTGCAAGAATAGGGGTGCCTCCAGACTCCGTCCCTCCACTCGGCCTAGAGGCATCAGTCAGAGCCTGAATTCAGTTAGTGGGGCTCCCAGGCCGTGCCTGGCTGCATCGTGGGGACACCGCAGGAGCTGACAGTGGCCTCAGGTCTGATCCTTTGTTGCAGGAGATGATCTCGGAGCAGCGCTGGGCACTGAGCAGCCTGCTCCAGCAGCTCCTCAAGGAGAAGAGGCAGCGAGAAGAAGAGCTCCATGACATCCTGGTATGCTCTCGGCCTCTGCTCCGCTCCTCACCTGGGCGGGCGCGCCCCTCGGTGCCGTGTGCGCTCCTGAAGCGCTTGTTATCCAGTAGTAGGTGCTCATCGAAGGGGACTTCAGGTGCCAGTTCCCTGGGTGCTGTCATAGGGAGTTTATTTCCTCACAGTCAGCTGATCACAGCACATCCAGAGTCAGCAGAGAGGAGCGAACACACGTCTTAGCCCCTGCACAGGGCTCTCCATGCCCTCGAGATGTGCTGGAGGGCAGTCCCCAGTATTCTCCCCAGGACAGGACTCGTTGGGAGCAGACCACTGCTTCTAGCCGGAGTGGCCCAGCCATTCGGTGTAACTGGTTGCCTTTCACCCTGGCTTTTCACTCTGGCATATATCAGGTTGGCTGAATCCCACTCCAGACATCGGTTCCTACACACTGAGGACCCCGGCTAGGCTCGCCAGACAGGGCTGAAAAGATGGAATCACTCCTATCTTTGAATGTCCCAAACGTCCATCCTAGACCAGTTGAGACGAGTGGGACCAGCTCCCACAGAGCACACACAGCCCAGGTGATGTGTCTCATGCCCATCCAAAGTGACCCATTCCCCAGGATGCCTCGCTAGTGTGTGAGCAGTGACCTTACCTCAGCAGGCCCAGGAGCCACATGTCTCAGGGAGGAAGCACCAGATAACAGACCAGTCGGGACCACGGACCCAGAAGGAAAATGTTGCCTGGCATAGTGCCGCACCCCCATCACCCCAGCCCTCCGGGGCACAGTACAGAGGAGAAGGGAGAAGGCCGTGAGGCGGCTCAGCAGGGTCTAACACTGTCGCCAAGCCTGATGGCCTGGTTCTACCGGGACACCCGGTGGAGGGACAGAACCACCTCCCAAGGTTGTCCCCACGGTAGTCCTCTGACCTCTGCATGTGTGTTTGGGGGCAGGGAGGCGCGCGCAAGATAAATTAATGTTATATCCAAACTTAAGAAAGGAAAGTGGAGTTCCCAGCCGTCTCAGGAGGGACCGCCAAGGACAGTCAGATGCAGAGCCGCTGGGAGACAGATGCCTGCTGCTGCGTCTGTCCAGAGCACACGCTCTAGAGCAAGACAGACCTGCCCAGATCCTGCTGTGGCACTGGGACAGATGTGAATCCCTCCCTGGGGGGTCGGCTCTTCCACAGAGTTGGGACGAGGGTCCCTCTGGGATAGCACCCACCCAGAGCAACCTTTATGAACATTTCCCAGTGGCAGAGCAAAGACCTCACTGCCATTGGTGACAGCCTTGTCCAGCAAAAGTGCCCTTCACCTGAAGAGACCTGCCTGGCATCCAGGTCAGGCCTGCTCTTGGGGACAGAGGTGGCTGCACAAGACTTTGCTGTCCCACAAACAGACGAAAGGGGTCCCTCTCAGCTATGACAGGGTGGGGCTGAGTGCTGGAGGCCAGGAGCAGGGCTCCCCTGCCACGCTCGTTCTCTGCAGCTGTTGGGCACAGCTGTACTTCCTGTCTGCCCTGCGGTTTACAGCAGGTGAGCAGGTGAACAGATGGCAAAGCCCGCACACTCGGAGGAGCGTGGAGTCGGAGACATGGTTTGATCATCTGTTTCCTGACTGGAATCTGAACGGCAGCTAATCGTGTCAACTTCTGTTATTGGCAGGTGGAATTAGAAGCCAAGAGCGAAACCAAGCAGGAAAATTACTGGCTTATCCAGTACCAGCGGCTCTTGAACCAGAAGCCTCTGTCCTTGAAGCTGCAGGTAAGGACCCTGGTGCTCATCTGGCCCAGGAGCTAGAGGGATCTTTCCAGAGGTACCTCAGCCCAGCCCCAGTGGGAACCACTGCACTGGGGATCCCACGTGTCAGCTTCCTGCAAGGAAAGGGAGTGAGTATTCACCTATGGGAGAGGAAGGAGAGTGGTCCTTGCTGTGGGCGGGGCAGGTGGGCGGGGCAGGTGTGGTCCCGCCCCTTCCCTCCCTTTGTGCACTCATGTGCACACATACACATAAGGTCTCCCTATGTAGCCCTGGCTGACCTGGAACTCACAGAGATCTCCCTGCCTCTGCCTCCTGAGTGCTGGGACTGAGGGTGTGCGCCACCACACCTGGCCTAAGACACACAATTTCTTTTTTAATGTTTAGTTTGGGGGGGGGTTGTTTGTTTGTTTTTAAAGATTTATTTATTTATTATGTATACAGGAGGGAGTGCCAGATCTCATTACAGATGGTTGTGAGCCACCATGTGGTTGCTGGGAATTGAACTCAGGACCTCTGGAAGAGCAATCAGTGCTCTTAACCTCTGAGCCATCTCTCCAGCCCCAGTTTTGGGGTTTTTTTATGAATGTGTTTTGTTTTATTTTGAGGCAGGGTCTCACTGTGTATCACTGGCTATCCTAGAACTTGTCGTGTAGATCAGGCTGGCCTTGAACTCACAGAAATATACATGCCTCTGCCTCCCAAGTGCTGGGATTAAAGGCGTGTGCCACCAAACCCAGCCTAGATTTACTTTATTTGTTTGTATGTGTGGGTACCTGTGAAAGTTTATGTGCACCATGTGCATGCAGGTGCCCCTGGAGGCCAGAGGGCATCAGACCCCCAGAACTGGAATTACAGGGGGTTGGTTGTGAGCTGCCTGAGGTGGGTGCTGGGAACCAAACCTCAGTCCTCTGCAAGAGCAGCACGCTCTCTCAACCACTGAGCTCCACGGATGCCATTCTGCTCACTCGCTTTCTCTCCTAAGTTCTGATGGACGGCTCCCCGTCCATGCTCACACCTCTCCCCGTTGTTCTCAGGTGTCTGCATGGTGCCCAGGATGTGGCCTGGCTTCTTGAGCCAGCTCCTTCCTGGTAGACGTTTAAGTGGCTTACCATTCAAGTGTAGAAAGCAGTGAACTCGCGTGTAGGTGGATCTGTGCACTGCACACACCGTCCTCTGGGAAAAAGCCCAAGGACACTGTGTCATGGACTCTGACTGTCCTATTTGAAACCCATGGGGTCTCCTGTCCGTCCACTCTGACCCTCTTCCCCGTGGGGCCGTCCTGCAGGAAGAAGGCCTGCAGCGCCAGCTGGTGGCCCTGCTGGTGGAGCTGTCTGCCGAGCACTACCTGCCCATATTCGCACACCACCGCATCTCGCTGGACATGCTGAGCCGAATGAGCCCTGGAGACCTGGCCAAGGTGGGCAGCCACTGGGGGAAGTCAGAAAGGCTGACTAGGCCTGGACCCAGTCTGGCCAAGGGTTGGTGTATATTTTATTCCATTTTGGAACCGCTGCCCGGTCGGCCTCCACTCACCTGTGTGCTCAGCCTGTCAGCTAACTAAGAAAGTGAGGAATGTGGATCCTGAAGTCTGGATCTTCACCTGGACGGCTAGCACAAGTGCTTGGGAGGTTCTGCGCCAGCCCCGGCCTGTGCCACAGTGTCACATTCATAGCCATAGCCCTGCCTGAGCCCCAGTTAGATCCTGACCCCACGCTGAGCGCCTTTCATGGAATTAATCCATTTCTCTTCCAAGTGAAATAATGCTGATGGTCACCAGCCCCTCCCTGGGACCCACACATGCCTGGCATCTTAGGTGTCTCACACACCAGCCACGAACCTGGAACTTGACTGTGAGTGGCTGGTAGCAGAGTCCCTGCTGCCATCCTCTTGGTGTCCTGTCTCATCCAGGACGATGAGCTCCAGGTGCAGGAGACTTTATGACACTGTGGGGCTCAGTTCACCGTGTACGTGACCGTGGGGGCAGGGTCCAGGGGAGCTGTGGTGCAGGTGACATCGGGCAGTCCTGTCCCCTGAAGCATTTAGTGAACCACATATGTCATGGATTTCCTTGGGGGGAGGGCTCAATGATGACCACATGACAGGTGAACCCGGACCTGAGTCAGCTCTCTACACAGCTGTGGTTCTGCCCTGCCACGTGCTGACCCAAGGCCCTGTTTCCATTGAAGATGCCAGAGGTGGGGGTCGAGGCCGTCCTGTGGGCTTGGGCACTATATATAGCTTAAAGCAGGAGGCTGGCTCCCGCCCTCAGCTCTTGGTCTTCTCTGTTCTGCCACAGGTGGGTGTCTCGGAAGCAGGCCTGCAACACGAGATCCTACGGAGGGCCCGGGACCTGGCAGATGCGGCCAGGGTCCAACCAGGTGCTGACTCTAGGCTCTTTCCAGGGCTATTGAGGCCCAGGTGTATGTGGACTGTGGCTGGACTCGGGGCTGCTGGCTCCAGGGCAGCACTCTGGGCATAGACAGGCCTTTGCCTGGGGGAGGGCTGGGGAACAGAGGCACCTTTGGGGTGTTCCCATTCTGCCGTCACCTCATGGAGTCCTTCTGTTTCCTGGGAACCTGGTGGAGGAAGCCTATCCTGCAGCTCCACCACTAGATGGCGATATGGCCCCAGGCAAGTGATGGCTTCGCTCTGAGCCTTGTGTTTCTGAGCTCTGAAGGATCCAGAGTGTGCGGTGGGCAGAGAATTCACTCCCGTCTCACGGATGGAGACGTGGGAAGGAACGAGGCTCAAAAAGAAAGAGCCTTTCCCTGCTCTCGGACTGGAGGCACCCCGCCTTTGTCCTTCAGACCAGTCACTTTGGGGTGCACACAAACAAGATCTCCTAGGGGTTGGGATCATCTCGGCACGACTCCTGCTTAGCCTGTCTGTCCCTCTGGTTTCTTCAGAGTTGGAACCACCCAAGGGTGAGGTCCCTGATGTCCTGGAGCCCCCCGCAGCACCCCAGGAGCCTCCTGAGACAGTGAGACCATCTGCTCCCCCAGAAGAACTGGACATGGCGACCTCAGAGTGTGTCGTGTGCCTGGAGCGTGAGGTTAGTGTGCGGAGATGCCACAGAACCCAGGACTCCCGTGACCCAGACGGGAGCAATGCCAACATCAGTTCCTAGAGGTGGTCTCCCCCAGAAGAAGGATCCTTCCCTCGGCTTATTAACTAGATTAGGGGAAATTTCCCCTATCATGACTCACGAAGAACACAGTTTCCCTGCCAGGTCTTTTTACAGTTGTTGTAAAATTAGCATTGCAAAAAGTAAACATGCGGGTGCTTGGAGCCAGGTCCTCCGTCCACCGAGGGACAGGCTTAGAAAAGTAGCCAGGAGCTGGCATGGGTGCACCCCTGTGGTCCCCGCTTGTGAGAGGTAAAGATAGCAGGGTCCCTGTGAGTCTGAGGGCTGTATAGCAAGACCTGTCACAAGAAACCCAAAAAGGCTGGAGAAATGGCCTACGCTTGCTGCTCTTCCAGAGGACCCAAGTTGGTTCCCTGTAACCGTGATAGGTGGTTCACAACTCCAAGGACCCAACCCCTCCTCTGCTCTCCGTGAGTAGCTACACACGTCTCACACACACATAAATAAGGCGGCCACAGTGGCAGCTGGATAGCTCTCCAGCTTTCGGAAGACTCTGGGATGCTGTGTCGGGGAGAGCACAGGCATGAGAACTCTAACCAAGGCCCTGTCCTCGGCTCTGGAAATGACTCCCAGTCTCATGATACGCTAAATGAGTGTAGAGTTGGAGACTTCTCAGACATGTGCATACCATGGGGTCATGCTAAACAGAGTGGGGCACATATACAAGACTGGTTGACCAATAAGGTTGAAGTCATTTTAGACCAGGCATCAGAATTTGGCAAGTACACAGAATAATTACAAATAGGCCGAGAGCCAGGTGGTGGTACACTCCTGGTATCCCAGTCCTTGGGAGGTGGAGGCAGCTCCGTAATAGGGCATTGGGCCTAGGATTCAGCGGAGGAAAGGGCCGTAGGGCTGCAGGTATTTAAGTGCTATTGTAATCCACAGAGAAACAGGCACAAAGCTGCCAACAGGCCTGACCAGGTTTGCGCATCCACAGGCGTGCTCCCGGGGCTGGGACGTGGTCGAGCTCCAGGACAGCCAAGCAGCGCCGCCACTCACCTGCTCTCTCTCTCTCCACAGGCCCAGATGGTCTTCCTCGCCTGTGGCCATGTCTGCTGCTGCCAACAGTGCTGCCAGCCGCTGCGCACCTGCCCACTGTGCCGCCAGGAGATCTCCCAGCGCCTCCGGATCTACCACAGCAGCTGAGCGCACAGCCGCCCGCCAGCCAGCGCTGGCCCTCGCTTGGCGCCACCCCTACCGCTGCTGGGCTCCCACGCACACGCACCCACGTTCCCCAGACTAGGGCAAGACTGCCATGGCCTTTTGCCACCCCCAGGCAGGCAGGTGGTGTGTTCCTGGTCAGTGACACAGTGGACAGTGAACAGATGGGCATATCTGCTGGTGACGGAGCCTGTGGGACAGGGGCAGGGTCCAGGCTGTGGAGGTGGCCATGCCGCCAGCAGGACTCAGGAATCCATGATGTTAGGCAAGCCTTAGTGCCACAGCCAGCTGTCTGCCCCGTGTGGAGGTGTCCTTGTCTGTGGCTGTACCACCTTTGGCCTGAGGTGGGGCGGTGTTTGGGTCGGGGTGGGCTGTGCAGGACCGCTCCCTCCCCGCCCTCCTGCTGCTTTCCAGTACCCGCCCTCCCATGTCTGCATCCTCAGCCCACAAGGCAGCTTGACTCAAACAGGAACACCAATAAATCTGAGTTCCTCCCAGAGTGACCTGTGCGACCTTGGGAACTTGGGAGGGAGGGGAGTGGGCTGGGTCCCAGGAGAAGGCAGCTCCTCGGGGGAGAGGGAGCAGAGCAGAGCTAAGGCACCTAGGCCAAAGGGAAGGCAGCACCCTCTTCAACAGAGGGAAGAGGGACAGCCGGGGATGGCCTCGTTATTTATAAGCAGCTCATGGGCGGGCTGTGTTCCCTGCGGTGATTATCCTAGGTAAAGACTGCCAAGCAAACTGACAAGGCATGCTAACTCAGATGGGCAGTCCACTCCCACCAGCTGTAGTGACAGGGCCAGTCCATGTGACATGACACCCTCTGCCCTTGTCAATATGAAGTGTGTGGCCTGCAGCAGGTGCTCAGCAAGTGCCACGTGATGAGCTCTGGGGAATTAGCGTGGCCATTGGCACCTAGCACAGGCCTGGAGCCCACCCTCGTGGTAGGCACTCTGGAAGAGGACAGTTACCTGAAAGCTCTGTGGCCTCTCCCTTCTCTCTGAGCCTCAGTTTCCCCCTCTAAAATAGGGCATTATAAGATCGGGTTAGGGTCAGGTGGTGGTGGTGCATTCCTTTAGTCCCAGCAGAGGCAGGTGGATCTCTTGAGTTCTAAGCCAGCCTGGTCTACATAGTGAGCTCCAAGATAGCTGGGACTACACAGTGAAACCCTGTCTCATGAAAAAAGAAAAAAGGGGGCACGGGTTAGAGAGAGAGCTCAGAAAGGTGGTTGGCCTTTTGAAGATTGGAGTCCCACACTCACGTGGAAGAAAGGCAAGTGCAATCACACACAGTACTTGGGAAGCCCAGGCGGGCGGATCCCAGGGCTCACCAGCCAGCCAGGAACCCTAATTGGTGTTTCAGGCTAGTGAAAGACCTCGTCTCAAAACACAAGGTGGAACGACACCTAAGATACTCTGGCTTCTACATGCACATGTGAGTTCACACCTACACACACACACACACACACACACACACACACACACACACACACACACAGGGACCTAGTAGCTCATATGATGAGTCCCAGAAAGCTGAGATGAATGGGGTCCCTAGACACCCTAGGCCCAGGTCTCCTGGACCCCAGCAGCACATAAGATGAGCTTTAAATAAAGCGTTTATTGATGAGCAAAGCTTACACAGTTTGCATAGATTCTTCATACCATATCTGAAGGGCGATGGAAACCCCAAGGCACTAGAGGACATTGGAAGGAATTAGTGACACAACTGAGTAGGCCGGGGGACTGGTGTCCCTGCGCGCCAGCCACATCCTAGGGGCCTTGAAGAGGCCTGTCTGCCTTGCTCTCCCAACCCCAGCATCCGAGTCTGCAGAGGCCCAAGGTGAGGGTCATGTATCAGTCATCCTTGCTTGGTGTGACCATCATGACCAAGGGGACAAACCCATATGGCTCACAAGGACGTTGGAAGAGGGGTCTGGAATTGTCAGGGTTAGAGTGGGCTCAGAGGCTGTCTTCAACAGTGTCTCAGAAAGCCACGGCCCTCGGTGTCCCTCGGGAGCCCCGCCAGCTTCCTGGCAGGTAGTGAGTACCTTGGAAGAGCAGGGCGAATAGCCCACATCCAGGCTCTGCCAATGAGCAGCTGTCAGCCCAAAGTGGGGGTGGGGGGGCCAGGCAGACAGGAGCGGCGAGCACCCGAGATTCTCCAGCTTTCAGACACTTTCTTCACGTCTCCATCCGGCCTCCGTCGGACACTCCCAAGCTCCCCCACTCAGGACACTTCCCCTGCACAGACTACCACATTCTGGGCCTTTCTCACCCCATCTCAGGCCCCTTGCATCTCTCCCCTGCAAAACCCCAAGCCCCACCCTCCTACAGCAGCAGCTAGCAGAGAGGCCAGTGACAGCAGTCTGTCTGGTCTTGGGGCCTGCAGGGAGGGCTGAGACAGACCGGGCCCCACCCCTTCCTCGCCACCTTGGTGCCAAGGAGCCCCAGAGTGAGATGACAGAGTTCACCGGCTTCAGGAACAGCACCAACGCTTTCACCATCTCCATCCAAAGACACAAGAACCACCATGAGGGAAACAGGTGACGGAGGAAGGAGGGGGTCACCAGCCCCTTGCACAAAGAGGAAGCCCTTGAAATCAGACATAGCATTGGAGACCAGCCCACAGAGAACAGGGCAGTAACAGGTATATTGAACCCCATAGGGTGACTTGGGTAAGCCAGCCCCCTGCAGGTGCCACACCACCCCAGCCACCTCCCCCACAAGGCACAGGCTGGGGTACCCCTCCCCAGACATGAGGCTACAGTGCCCAAGGAGAGGCGGCCCAGTGCAGTGTCCAACAGAAGCCCGGGGGCAGGGCCTAGAACTCTGTCTGCACACCCGCGCTGTCCTCGGTGGTGTGGATGGGAGGACGGCGACCAGGACTGGACACCTGCTCCCCGGTCTCCTGGTCACTGGGCTTCGGGGGCTCAATGTCCATACCCTTTCCAGGTGGGAGATGCCCAAGGGGCGAGGCTGGCGGTGAGGAGGCCTCAAGGACTGCCATGGGCTGGGGGCTCTCCTGGACAGGGGCCCCATTGAGAAGGGGGCTGGCTGGTGGGGGGCTCTCAGCCTGCAGATCCTGGGCCAGCAGACCTCGGAGCTCGGCGACACTGTCCGGGGATGCAGGTGAAGGTGGTTCAGAGCCAGCCTCAAAGGGCAGCCCTGACTCCTCGTCCTGGACCACGGACACCACCTGCTTGGCACGCCTGCGCTTTTCTGTGAGGTTGGCTGCTTCAGAAGGGCAGGGGCTGGGGCTGCCCCCACTGTCACTGCCATCACCGCTGTCGCCATACTGTTCGCCCCAGTCGATGGGTGCACCCTCGGCCAGCAGGTGTAGGTTGGGGTCACTGTTATGCAGAACCATGCTGTCCCGGTAGAGGTTGTGTTTGCGCTGCACGGCGGCCTCCTTCACAGCTGCAAGACCACAGGAGAGAGGCAGTGCTCTTAGCACGGGACTCGGGCCAGGCCTCCCTGCCGCAAAGCTGTAACCTCACTGACCACTCTCAGCAAAGCCAGGGACCAGGGAGGGAAGCAGGCACACAGAAGCCAGTGGTCCATCCCAGCCTCCTCTCGGACTCTTGGGTCTCTCTGTGCCCTTTAGCTAACGCCACCTGAGCCTCCTCTGGGCCGCCCCTCCCTCCTCGCTCACCCTGCAGGATGTCCTTCATGACCGTCTGCAGCACCACCTCCTCGTAGGTGTTCTCCACCAAGATGAACCTGGCGAAGTCCTCAAAGATCAGTTCCTGGAAGCGTGGCAGCTCCTGCCGGGGAAGCAGGTAGAGATGGGTCAGAGGCTTTACCCCGGTGGCCAGTCCCTGAAGGGCTAGGGCAGGCTGGGACTCACCGACTTGCAGGTGGGGGCCAGCTTTTTGAGCAGAAAGGGAATGGTGATCTGCAGCAGCGCCTCCCGGAAGAACCTCTTGCGCACAGAACTGCTGTCGTAGTCGTATTTCTGCAGGGAAGGACGCAGAAGCGACCTGGGTCAGGGGCTCCCCTAAGCACCAGGGTCCTCCTGGAGACGGGCTGGGCAGTCGGCTCTGGCTTCAGAGGCCGTGCAGCTTCCAGCCCGGGGGAGTCAGGCTCACCTTCAGCACCCGCTCCAGAATCCGCTGGATGGACTTGCACAGCTCCTCCTTGGTAGGCCCCTTCCCCAGCTCCTGGTGCAGGAGGGTTTCGAAGGTGTACACAGCATTGTCCATTTGCTGCAAGGCACACGGCAGGGCTTGTGAAACCCTCCCAGGGTGACCAGAGCCCCTTCCTGAGCCCTTGGCCAGTCTCCCCACCCCACATCTGCCACAGAGCAACCGGAGATGCTCTGGGGTGTATGCTCACTGGGGGTCTAAATGCAGGTGTCTGCCTCAGAGTACAGATCCCAGGAAGGGACTAGGCAGTAAGGACAACTTCCGGGGACGGGGAGTCGGGGATCCTAAGGAGGTCTAATAGGCAGCCAGAGTCAGCGAGGTGAACAGGAGGCAAGGTGCTCAGAGAGGCATGGGAGAGGAGAAGGGCCTCCCTCTCGTGGTGATGGGGGCCATGGAGGGCAGCTATCGGGGTGCAGGCTGGCGGGGACACACCTCTCGCATGTGGATCTGGGCTCGCTGCTTGAACACAGATGTGCTAGACACGTCAAAGCGCTGCTGCAGCCCATCCAGCCGCAGAGGCTGCATCTTCTCGTAACAGCTCTGCATCTTCAGGGGGTGGTAGGCCAGCTGAGACAGCTTCTCCATGTACTGCAGGGGGCGGGGCCACATGGGTGACTGCACAGCCCCCACACCCACACCCTGCCTGGGCCTGGCACCAGCTACCCAGGGGTGGCCTTCTGGAAACTGTGCCCCTTAGCGGACACCTGGGAGGGCCCAGGAGAGAAGGGAGGAGGATCTGAAGGTACCGCGGTGTTGAGGGGAGAGGCCAGCCCAGGCACTGGAGACAGTTCTCATCCCTCAGGACAAACACCCAGTCCCTCTGAGCATCGCTGTCTTCAGGTCCCAAATCAGGACTTCTAAGGCCCTTCTGGGTTCTCAAATTCTGATTGTTACTGCCTGGGATTCGCAAACTTAAAGTCTAAAGGGGGAGACTAAAGCTCAGGACCAATTCCAGACCCAGGCAGGCTACAAGGGACAGCCGCCCTAAGAGCTAGGTCAAAAGGGCCAGTAATGCATTACTTCACTGTGGGATGTGTGACCTGTTAATGATGCAGCTCACGCCTGACGCTTACCTCCCGCCCCTTCCTTCATCCCTCACTGTCCATTGCTCTTACACTTTAGCAACCATCCTGCCTCATAAAGGCTGATGGTAAAGGGTCAAAATAGCCACTCTTGCCTCCAGCCACCAGCCCCGTTAGACTGGACAGCTTTGCCCTGTGGCTTCTGCCTCTGGTCTCTGTGGATGCTGAGAAAGGGCAGGCCATCGTGAGACACAGCGGACACTCTGGGGGGGACACCAAACCCATGCCCAAGTCTCACCTCGCCCAACTTGTCAATGCCCCCTTCGTTGATCACGTTCAGATTCATGTCTGTGACTTCTTTGAAGAAGACATCCCGCACCTCAGTGAAGCCCTGGCTGGTGGGCACCATCAGGGCCTCTAGGATGGACGGGATGTAGGGCTGGACGTGGTTCCTCACACACACCTCCGCCTTGGGAAGGATGAAGGCTGTATGGGGAGGGAGAGGATTTGGATGGCGGGTGGTGTCGGGACACAATCTATCCCATCCTACCACCCCAGCCTTTGCACAGCCCATCCCGGATGCCCGAGAAGCTGCTGTGTTAGAGGTACTGGTGACGTGAGCTAGCTCACTGACCGAGAGAGGAACCAATAAAGACAGCAAATCAAAGCAGGAAACCGAAACCGGGCTGCCCTGGCTCTGTCTACCCTCCTAGCACTCCAGAGGGGCAGGCAGGAAAGTTAGAAGTTTAAGACCATCTCTGCTATGTATTTAAAGCTAGCCTGGGATACGTCTCACAAAAGAAAGGAAAGGAAGGAAGGAGAAGAAAAGAATTTGCAACTCAGGTGCCTTGTGGACCCATGAGCTTCGTGGAGACTGACCACCGCCCTGGAGCGGGGTGCTCTGAAGTCCGCCCCGCTTCTTGCCTGGCTAATACTACACGCAGTAAATGTCAGCTCTCAGTCCACTCCCACTAAACTCCCAGTGACCGTGGCTGGTCCACAGTCACCTCGGGAAGCCACCACCTGCTGGTACCCCATGTGGAAGGAACACAAAGTGAATGATGAAGGGAGCCCGTGCAACCCGGGGAGCTAGGCGTTTCCAAGGTGACACGGCGATCCACCAGGTGACATGTCACCAGACCTGAGTGGGCCGAGGATGGACAGAGGCCTGAACCTCAAGGACAAAAATCTCCACATTCAAGATCTGAGCTAGAGTCAAAAGCTTGTCATCCTAGGAACTCGGGAGGCTGAGGCAGGAGGATCACAGATTCAAGTCTAGCCTGGGTAACTTACAAGACTTTGTCTCAAACAGTATTTAAAAAAAAAAAAGAGGCCGGAGCTGCAGCTCGGGGACAGAGTCCTTATCCAGTGTGGATGAAGCCCTAGGTTCAATTCCTAGCACCTCTAGAATCAAATCTGAAGAAATAAAACTTATACTGGGCGGTGGTGGCGCACACCTTTAATCCCAGCACCTAGGAGGCAGAGGCAGGCAGATCTGTGAGTTCGAGGCCAGCCTGGTCTACAGAGTTCCAGAACAGACAAGGCTACACAGACAAACCCTGTCTCAAAAAACAAAAAAGTAGAAAAACAACAACTTAGAGAAGAATTTGCAGGAGAGCCTTGGATTCGATTCTGAGTCTTCGGCAGAACCACCTCCAGTGATGGATAACAGCAGAGAAACTGGCCTGGCCCTGGAGAACCGTGTACACACACAGCGGCTTCCGGTCCACCCACCCCGGATCTTGCTAGCCAGGTGCTCCTTGGAGGTGATGATCTGATCCATGTCAGTGCGGATGACTGCCTCCATGGCCGGCCGGGCCAGCTGCAGCTTAGAGAGCACCTCCTCAAAGTGCACCTTGGCCTGCTCAAACACCAGCCGGTATACGGCATCTGAGATCTGTGGGTACAGGAGAGGCGTCAGCCAGGGCTGAGAGCAGAGTGCCAGCCGTCCCCCTCAATGCCCTCGTCTCCGCCAGGGCCTCCCGGGTCCACTCACCTGGATCCACTGTCGCTGTCGCTCTTGTGGCTTCCCCTTTAGCCGGGGGCCAAGCTCTGCCTTCAGCGCTGGGCCCAGCTCCTCCATCACCAGATTGCTTAGGATCTAGGACCAAGAGGCAAGAGTCAGGGCTGGGGTTGGTGCTGATCCACCTGCCTTATTTCTCTGTGATTGCAGCCACTCAAGGCCCCTGCTCTGGGCCTCCTCCACACCCCTGCTGGGCTAGCTCCCACACAAACCCTACAGGTATCAGGTGTCTCTGCCTGGGTGCCCAACAGCACCCTTGAAGTCAGGTGTCCCACCACAGGGCCTCTGCATGCACATGTAAATACGTCTGTGGAGTTAGTGTCTCCTGCGAGGCAGAGCTCCTGATGGGAGCTAGAGCCATACTGTGCACAGCTGCCCTGCCCCCCAGCACCCAGGGGCACGAGTGGGCAGATTTACAGAGGTTCTCACTCACCCAGATCTGATCTTGCCATCTCTTCCCAAACCTATTGCTCCCCAGAACCCCATTCCTGGTACCAGCCTTACCCACTGGGACCCCAAGATGTCCTCGGAGGGCTCCTCACACAGCCCTTCTATCCTCACCTGCACCTCATTCCCACACAGCATTTCCCAGGTGCCGTACTGCTCCTTCGACTGGCGGTACATGCGGATGGCATCGGTAAATGCAGGGCCCTCCACCTTCGAGTTCTCAGGGATCCCTGCCCAGGATGGAGGGAGGGAGAGAGGGAGAGACGAGAGGTCAGCAAATGACCCTCTGCCAAGACCAGCCAGCCAGAGTGCACACTCACCCCATCGAGGGCACACGCAGCAGGAAGAGCAGCTGTGACTCACCTGGCAGCACCCTGGCAACCCTGTGCCCCCACCCCGACCCAGCACAGTCATTAACGCGACCTCACAGAAAAACAGCCATAAGTAGTGAGTGGCCAAGCTAGACCTGGAAAGTCACCCCTCCCTTGGACAGCACACCGCGGCTCCTGGACTCCTGAGACCCACACTCTAGCCCTGTTCCCCACAGAGTGGCTACATTAGTGTCCTGTGACCCTCTGGTGGCATGACAGACTCCAGTTGTGCAGACCAGACAACCTCTGTCCCAACACCGGACGTCGCATCCCAGCTTGCAAACAGCCAGAGCTGGTCTTTGTCAATACACTTTGCTACAAAAGTAGACCAGAAGATGAACCTGACCCATGGGCTGCTTTCTGGGCCTTCCTTTATATCACTGAACCCCAAAAGAGCCCCCGTTTCCTCTTATGGGAACAGTGACCTTAGCCTGGCATCCTACACACACTGAGGAGACTCTGAGCTGCATCATGGGGACAATGAGCCAAGAAGGGGGCACCAGGGCCTTTTGAATGACACTTTTGTGTGGTTTTGGTTTTTTGAGGTGCTGAAGATCGAACCCAGGGCCCTGGGTGTGTTAGGCAAGCACTTTATCACTGAGCCACATGCCCAGCCCCTGAAGGACACTTTTTATCAGAAGCTAAAGAGCCCCCTGGGCCCTGGGTCTGTCTTGTCTACGTGCCAGCAGGTACAGATGCTAAAACATTATTGAATAAAGAGCTGGGAGTGAGCCGGGTGGTGGTGGCGCACGCCTTTAATCCCAGCACTCAGGAGGCAGAGGCAGGCGGAACTCTGTGAGTTCGAGGCCAGCCTGGTCTACAGAGTGAGTTCCAGAACAGGCACAAAACTACACAGGGAAACCCTGTCTCGAAGAAAAAAAAAGAGCTGGGAGTGTGGCTCAGTGATGGAGTGTTTGTGTAATATACACAGGGTCCTGAGTTCAACTCCTAGTGGGAAAGTAGAGCCTGGGAGGGTAAAATGAGAGTAGGAACCACTGCTAACAACCAGGAAAAATACTGTTTCTCAATGCGGCTGCTACTGGTGGTGATGGTGGCCTGCGTCACGAGGGAGTTAATAAACACGGCATGGACCCCAGACCAATGCTGAGGAAACAAGATACAGGAAGTGGCCAGCTCTGAGTAGGGAGAGAGCGTGGTTAACACACCCAACCTAGCCACGTGCCCCTGACCACAGTGTCCCTGGAGCCCCAGAAGGGGAAATGACAGTCTGTGCATCACAAACCCCAGCATCCACTGAGTGACAACAGGCTGAGTCACCCCACAGAAAGAAAGCTTCTCCCTCCCCCGCAGCCAGCGGCCCACAGGGATTGCTGCCTGTCAGAACTCAGAGCCGACAGCACCCACCCCAGCTTTCAGGGACCGGGGCCAGCCTGTGGGCAGAGCAGAGAGCCTTCAGCAAAGGTGGTACCCAAGCCAGGGCAGCCAATGTGGCCCCGAGAGGAACCCAGCCAGGCTCTCAGGAGGACACAAGTCCCCTGGAGCCCAAGTCTGGAAAATCTGGCAATGCATAAATCACAGCCTCTCTCAGGTCTAGAAAGTTCCACTGTGCAGGTGGCAAGGAAAGCGTGTGCAGGGCAGGGGCGTTCCAGGTAGGGAAAGTGAGGCAGCGGCCAGGGAACAGCAGGTTTACAATCCACCCCCTCTGGGCTCTTCCTGTGAGCCTGGCCGCTGTCCACTGTGTTCACCTGGCTCACACCTCAGAATGTGGCTGTGTTTGTAATGACGTCTCTCTCCTAACAGCAAAGCTCAACTGAAAGATTAGGCTGAGCTCAGATCTGGGTGGATTGGTGTCTTCATAAAAAAGGGAAATCTCGTGTGTGTGTGTGTGTGTGTGTGTGTGTGTGTGTGTGTGTGTGTGTACACGTACCTTTACTCATCCATGTATGTGCATGTTGAGGCCAAAGGTCAGTGGGAATTTTCTTCTATCCATCTTCTTTCTTTTTTAATTTAATTTTATTGTATGTGTATGGGTATTCTGCCTGCATGTATGTGTCCATATTTGTGCAGTTCCTAAGGAGACCAGAAGAGGGCGTCGGAGCTCCTGGAACTGGATGTGAGCCATGTGTGGGTAATGGGACAGGTCCTCTGGAAGGCAGCCAGAGCTCTTAATCACTGAGCCATCTCAGCCCCTCCAACTTATTTTTTGAGACATGGTCTCTCACTGAACCTGGAATACATTTTAGCTAGACTGGCTGCCTCTGGCCACTGCGTCCCCTCCAGGACTGGGTAACAAAGAGATGCTGCTCCACCAGACTTTATGTGGGTGTTAGGGATCCAAACTCAGGCCCACAGGCTCCTACAACGCTTCATTCACTGAGCTGCCTCCCTGTCCTGTTTGCTTGCTTGTTTGTTTGCTTTTGAGACAGGTTCTAAACTTAGCCCAGACTGGCCTGGAACTCACTATATTGTCCAAGTCTGAGCCACCATACCTCACCTTGAAAGAAGGGGATTTTTATTTGTTTGCTTGTTTGTTTATCGGAGGCAGTCTTGTTTATGTATTTGTTTAATGAGGGCAGTCTCGTTTACTTACTTACTTACTTACTTACTTATTTATTTATTTATTTATTGGAGACAGTCTCACTGTGTAGTCCTAGCTGGCAGGCCTTGAACTTACAGAGATCTGAGGCAGAATGACCACTATGAGCCTAGAGATTTGGGGCCAGCCTGGGCAAGACTCTGTCTCAATGAGAAAAAAAAGAGAAAACTGTGTGCTCAACAGAGGAATGACTCACCACTGACGCCTGGTCCTCTAACCTCCAGAACTAGAAAAAGAGTAAATTTCCTTGTGTGAAACACCCAGTCCTGGACGGAGACTTCACACACATCGGCCCTCTTCACCCTCAAAGAGGGAATGGGGCAGCGTGGGGGCTGTCTTAGCTTCAAAGAAACTGAGGTTCCAGCTGCGTGTGCGTGTGCGTGTGTGTATGCGTGCATGCCTGCATGTTTGCATGTGGTGGTGATGCGTGCAAGAGTGCACACATATCCCAACATTGAGGGGAGGGGGCCCAGGCAGGAGGAAGACAGCAGGTTCGAGACCAGCAAGACTACATAGCAAGACTCTGGCTCAAAAGAAACCGAGGATGGGATGGGCAAAGACTTGAGAACACACCGCTAAGGAATAGTTAAATCAGGGCTGGAACCCAGGACCAGGGACTGAGCAGGACGTGGACACCAGGCCGAGGAGGGCTGAAGTCAGTGCCCCAGCTGCCTCCTGCCACCCCCCACTGCTCCGGGAATGCAGGATGTGAAGGGGGCCCTAGCCAGGCTGGCAGCCACCCAGCTTGGCGTCCTTCCCTACCACCCACCCCCACTTCCTGGCAGGGCCAGGAGTGAGCAATTCCAGGCTCCACAAATTCCAGGCCCAGCCTCAACAGGGAGGAAGCAGAGAACTTTCTCACAGTCCTGGGGTGGAGGGAAGGGCCATGTCTGGAACTGGCCTTGTCAGCTCCTGCAGGGGGTAAGAGAGCTGGTCTGGGGTAGGGCTTTCTGTCATAAGGCTCTTTGGTACCTCCTCTCCGGCCCACAACACCCAAGACCTTCCAGCTGAATGCCGGCTGTGTGGAGGCACTTTTTTTTTTTTTTTTTTTCCAGCGTTATCTGAACCAGTTCATTCTTCCCCCTAATACCTCCATTTCAGTCTCTACTGTCATATACCCCAGGGAACTGACCGGTGGCTCCTCCCCACAGCCTTTTCCTCACCCTTCTCCTACCTGACCTGGGGTCCCCTACTCGGCCATAAGTAAGCCGGCAGCCCTGGGAACCTACCGAGGGCTCCTGGGCCAGCAATAGGTGAAGAAGAAGGGTGCCCCAGGCCAGGCAGCCAGATCCTGAGCCAGAGGCCCAGCTCCAGGGACCTGGGAACAGGAGCCCCTTTGTGGGGAGCAGGGCAGGGGCCAGCCCAGGTGGCAGGGCTTGGCCTGGCTGAAGACCTGGTTCCCTCCCATCTGACAGATTCCAGAAAGGGCGGAGGCCCTTCAAGAGAGGTGAGGTGAGCTGGGTTCAGCCAGGCGCCTACACCTCCCTCACCATCTTGTGGAGCTGTGCCCGAGAGCAAGGTGAGAGCCGCTTTGCCTCCCCCTGCCTCTGGGACCACATCACCAGGCCGGGGTTATTCCTTCTCCAGGGGCAGAAAGATGCTCCTCACCTCACCTGGGAGACATCTCTAAGCTTTAGAGTTCCTCAGCACCCTCTAGACCTGGCCTCAGAGCCATCCCAGCCTCACTTCAAGTCTCACACACAGAGTACTGTCCCCATTCCAAGTCACGCTTTTGGGGGCCACAGCCTCCTACAGGAACACTTCCCCACCCCATGCCTGCCCCATCACCTCCCCCAACACACGCACAGGCTCCTGGGTGACTCCCAGCCAGCACCCAGCACAGAGAACACCATCCTGGTAGCTCATCTGTGCCACATCTGTCTCCATCACACAGCTGGCTGTATGTGGGCAGGGTTCATGCCTCGCTCCTTTCCATAAGCTCAGAATAGAAGCCATAAATGTTTGTCGAATACATGAATAAACTGAAGAATCAAACCATGAGTTTACAAAGGAGGGAGAGAGCCGGGGGGGGGGGGGAACCTTTGCAGATTGCCATGTGTAAAGAAGGAAATTATATCATAAGAAATATTTTGGGCCGGACAGTGGTGGTGCACACCTTTAATCCCAGCACTCGGGAGGCAGAGCCAGGCAGATCTCTGTGAGTTCGAGGACAGCCTGGTCTACAGAGCGAGATCCAGGACAGGCACCAAAACAACACGGAGAAACCCTGTCTCGAAAAACTAAAAAAAAAAAAAAAAAAGAAGAAGAAGAAGAAGAAGTATTTTGGTATGTGGGATCTCACTGTAGCCCAGGCTATCCTAGAATCACTATGTAGCCCAGGCTGGCCTCGAATTCACAGGGATCCTCTGCAAACCATTATTCTCATCTATAAGAAAAATCTTGACCAAGCACAAAGTGGACTCATGCTATGAATCCCCGTCATACCTCCCAAATATGCAGGGATCCTCTCGACATTTTACAGAGAACTCAGAGGGAAGTCAGTCTCCATGAAAGTTAATCTTGGTTGTCAACCAACAATCACCATGGAAACAAATCTCTGGGCCTATCTGTGAGGAAGTTTCTAGATTGGCCTAGCTGAGGTGGATTCACCCTCAGTACAGGGGGCACTCATGGGCTGGGGTCCCAGACTGGATAAGAAGGGGAAGGGCTGACAGCAGCAGCCTCCATGGCTCTCTGCTTTCTGGATGCGGTGTGAGCTGCTGCCACACTCCTGCCCCCAGGCCCTCTGAAATGAGAGACAAAGTCAACCTTTGCTCCTTTAAGTTGCCTTTCTGGGTGTGTTTGTTACAGCAACAACACTAATAACTAGGAAGTCTCCTAACATCACATTGCTAGAAAGTGGCAAAAATCAAGATGATTCTGAGATTGTGGGTCCAGAGGCTCAACAAGTACAGCCTTTGGAGAACAATTTTCCAATGTTGCCTTGGCAACACAGAAGTATTTTCATCAAGGAGAAGGATAAAGAGTGATAATCAAAAGTTTACAACTCAGAAGGGAAGTGAGAGCAGATCGTAGAGCAGGGTTGCCATACCATCCACAACCACTAGGTGTCGCCACCCAGCACATGAGTAAGTGCTGCCACCTGCTGGCCCCTCACCATTGTTGCAGTGTCGGACGCAATCCTGAAGCACGGCCTGCCATTTGTCCTGTTCGGCTGCCGTCATCATGCAGAAGTAGTAGTGACGGGCATAAGGATGCCACAGGACCAGCGGGAACTGCGTGGGGCACTTGAGGATGGGCGTGGAGCCCGATTTCGATGTGGTCCCTGTGGAGACATAGCTGTGAGCAGCTGCCCTCTGCCGCTGAGGCCTAGGCTCAGGCCTAGATAAGGCTGTCCTGTCCTCAGGGTGTCTCAGCAAGGAAGCAGCTGACCTTCATTTGACCTCCAAGGCTCAGCTACAATAACTGAGAAGCCTGGCACCGTGGCCCCTCCTTCCAGAACTGGAAATAGGTCACACCCACCCTGATCGAGTGCATGGCTTTATGAGAGGGTCAGGACTCTAGTTCATTACATTCTTGGGTTTCCCTTCAAATTTCAACAGCAGAGGCCAAGCTGGTGGTTTAAATATCCAGGGAGGGAGGGAGGCATGTGGGCAAACAAAATAAACAGAAAGGACTTTTTTCCCTTGCTTTGGCCCTCATGGGTATTTTAGATCCAGCAAGACAACAGGTCCTGGGCTCACCACTGTGGTCAGCAATATGACAATAACAGTTGTCTGTGGTCCAGCTTTGGGTGGCTGGGATAAGCTTACAGGGCACACCCCGAGGCCTTCGGGCCCTCCCAGCACCAGGTTCAGTTGGTACTGAAGAACCTGACGTCAGAAGGGGAGGGGCTTTACCTGTGTGGCCCCAACAAAAGGACAGAGAGTCAGTCCTGGAATCCAGGAAAATGGACTACTACGTGGCATCTACAGCCACATGGGCTTTAGTTCCAAGCCTCACATCCCAGGTGGGGACTGAATAGAATGGGGAGGTCTAAGATAATGCCTCAGAAATCCCTGGCAGGGTCACCACCATCTTCTCCAGAGACAACCATGGTTTCAGGGAGGTGGGAAGGGCCTCCATCACAGAACTCTGGTGCATACGGCTTTGGCCTAGGCAGGGCCTGGCTGAGGGCCCACATGATCTGGGTCCAGACCCTATCCATACACAGCCTGGGGCAAACTCCACCTCATGAACCTTTGGAGTCTCCCCTTTGAGGGCTCGGTTTGTTCAAGAAATATGCAGACTTTCTAGGCCCAACTGGCTGCCCTGCAGAATGGAGCCCGAGCAATGGGCTCAGGGTCATCCCCTTCCCTAGCCAATCCTTAGGCCCATGTAGGACAGTAGGGTCGGAGACCACTTACCTGGTAGGGAATTGCCAACAAGCTCCAGGTACTGGTCTACAGAGGTGAGAACTTTGTAGCCTGCACTGTTAATGACAGCTCTGGGTGGCATCTGCCGCTCATAGGCCTGAAGAGAGCAAGAGAAATGAAGCCTCATGGTTAAGAATGTGGCCAAGCACAAACCCCCATTTCCAGCTGGCCCCAGGATTACGCAGCTACTTGTCCAAGGTGGGGGAGGGAGAACTAGAGGAGTCAGAAGTGACTGACCGACCAACCAACCGACCAACCGACTGACAGGGCAGGGATGCAGCCTCATGTGGAGTGCTTGCTTGGCATGCTCTAGGGACTGAGTTTAGTCCCCACAATGGAGGGCATGGAGATTGACTGTCGTATTATTGGAGATGGAGTGGCATAGACCAGACCCAGCTCTGGGCCCTGACTTCAAGAGCTGGGCCAGGAGGGAGGGGAAACGCTTGGCACAATATCAATAGATAAGCTTTGTTAGGGGGCAGCAACTACAATCACTGCCACTGCTGCCTCTGGGACCAGCGAGTCTGTGATTGTCTGTTACATATGAGACACTGCTGCGGATGCTCTCACAATATAAGAGGTGGCTCATTTCCAGTTCACAAGGACAGGAAGTAGGCGTTGACTCTGAACCAGGACTGTCTCCAGAACCCAAGGGCTTTGACATTACCTTGAACCGCTCACCCCAAATTTCTAGCTTCTAAGCATTGCAGTGTTTCAAGGGAGAGTTAGGTCAGTGCCCAGCTTTCCTTACAGCTATGGGAGGGAAAAGGATTCTGACCCAATTGCCCATACATCAGGGCTGCCAGGCAGCTGTCTGCCACTAGGGGGCAGACAGAGCTACTCTGAAAAAGGCCTGTCTTTGGGGCAGCGCTGGAGAAAAGTTGGGCAGATGAAATAAAATCTGTAACATAACCAGGTGGGACTTCTCCCAAGGGCTCAAAGCAAATACAAGACACGGTCAAACTCCCATTTCTGCTCAGACCCACATCAGGGCAAGGAGGATTGGGGAAGGAGAATTCAGGAGCCCCACCCAGAGAGTGGCACGCAGGGCCAGATGGCCAGCAAACAGCTGGTGTGACTGCGGAAGCCTAAGGATGGAGGGGCCTCCTGGGAGAAGTAGGAAGGCTAGCCACGAAGGAGACCAAGGCAAGCAGAGGGCAGGCTCTGCGTTGAGCAAGGGATTTGGTGGGGCTTGGGCATGACCAGAGGGCAAGAAGGGTTAATGACGTGGACACCTGGACAAAAGGTAAAGGACATTGAGAGAAAGAGCCCCCAGGCAAACAGGTCTGGAGAAGTGGAGAAGGCTCGGGAAGTTTGCCGTGGAGAAATACTGGGGGCAGGCGTGAATGGGGAAAGCATGGAGCCTGGAGCCTCAGGTTTGGAATGGGGGTCACGGAGTAAGAAGGGGGTAAGTGCAGAGGGCGGTGGCTGGCTGCCAGGGGCAGGCCAGACTCACTCACCACTTTGTTCTCGTACAGCACCAGCCCATAGTTGTGGGGCACCAGGCTGAAGCGATTCCTCCACTTCTTATTGTCCTCCTGGTACTGGAAAAGGTTCCCAGAGAAGATGATGCGTTCATCCAGGGGCACCTGTGGGCAGGAAGTGAGCGTGAAGCCAAGAAGGAACAAGGGGTCCCAACAAGGTGGCCGCACAGCCGTCAGGGCTTGCATTTGAACTCCTCGTAGGGTGTCACCCACACACGGGTGTCACCTACACACACATACCACCGCCACCGCCGCCACCACCACCACCAAACCCCTGGCCTCATCAGGACTCGGAGACCAGGCTGCACTGCACCCCCTGTGAGGTTCAGGGCAGTGAGGGACTCACTCGGGGTTCAAAGAGAATATGAGTGGAACCCAGCCTGGGCATTCATTTGGAGCCAGGCCTAAGCTTTCCCACTCTCTTCTAGTCCAGGGAGCCCCCCAGGGAGGGAAGTGGGGAGCAGGCTGCTTCCCCTGTCCACCTGCTACCTCTACTTCAGGGCACAGCATTGACCCAGCTGGAGGACACACCATTAGGCCAATACTTAAAAGGTCCTAGTATGTGGGCAAGCCTCTGCCCAGCTCTGGGCCTCAATTTCCCCTCAGAACAATGAAGACTTGAACTTATATCCAGAGAGCATCCCAGCTCTGCCAGCTGGCCAGGTGGCATCCCAGAGTCGGGGTGAGGAGAGATGTTGGACCAGCGTCCAGGCAAAGAGATGACCTATGTGGGCTGCAGACACGCTCAGCCATTCCTACAAACCCTACAAGGACTGGCATGACTCTCATTCAGCTCCCTCGTCTGTAAAATGGAGACTGTGGCCGACACCAGGCAGGCAGCCCATACAAAGCCAACACAACAGTGATCATGTCAGGAGTCTGCCAGAGTGCACGAGACATGTTCTCCGCTTCTGGGCTGACTTGGACATGGGAAGGGATGTCTTTACCCAAGCCGAGACTACGGAGATCAAGGAAGCTTCTGGAAGGGAGGTGCAGAAGCTGCAATGGACTGTGGGGCCCGGGGATCTAGGAATCTCCATTTCTAGGCAAGTTCTGTTTATTCTATGATAAACGTGGTACCAGTTACAAAACAGACCGAGTACTCTATGCATTATTGATGGGAAAAAGTATGACTTTGCATCTTGGTCTGTGGATCTTGCTCCTCCTCCTGTGTTCTCTCCTGGCTCCTTTCCCTAGCTGCCTCCCCTCCCACACCCCACACCCCCCCCACTCCCCCACTCCCCCCCACACTCCCTCCCACCCCGCTCCTCAGGGGAAACTACACTCTTAAAAGGAGAGGCCATTGTGCTCAGACAATGGCCCCACACCAGTTTCCTCTCTAGAAGAAAATATTTACAGGAAAAAAGGGTCTGCTCCCCTCCCCCACCCGGGCTTTGCCCTTGTCAGGCGGCCCCCACTTGGTGGTCTATATTTAGACTTCTGTAACCCAGCCCTCCAATCCGTCTTTTCTAGGAAGAAAAGCCAGGGTTTTCCTAACACCCTGGGAAGACCCAACCGGCTCAGCTGGGCATCTACAACCGGAAGGCCCTGAGATTAGGAACAGTCCCAGAGGGTTGACTCTAGGAAGTGCCTGAGCCATGAAGCCAGGCTCTGCACCCCACCACTGAGCACATCCCCAGATCCTGGGCCATCTCACTGAGACTGCCTGGCTGCTGGGTTAGGTTTTATTTTTAAGATTTTTTTTCCAAAGGCAAGCAAGCCTCTAATCCCAGGTTCAGGAGGGAGGTAGAAGGAAGGGGGACCAGAAACCCAAGGTAATCCTCAGTTACAGGTGGAGTTTGAGGCTAGCCTGGGCTACATGAGACCTTACTCAACAGAAAAACAGGTTTTCTCAAATGGCAAGAGTCCTGTTTTGAGTGGAAGGCCTTTGGGAGGCCCACAATATTCCAGACCCTACAAATCAAGGGTACCCTTGCCACCCATCACAGGAGCCAGAGAAGTGACCCCCCAGTGACCCTCAGAGCAGGGAGGGGGTGGTGTGAGGTTCTCCACCACAAAACAACTACTGATTACTCTGTTTGCTGGGGTGGAAGGTGAGACACCTCTTTCTATGAGTGTGTACCCCAGATGGCCTTAACTCCTGCTGGTCCTGCCTCAGCTCCTGAGTGCTGGGGTCCCAGGCCGGCGCCTCATCCTGACCCTCTGTTATTTTACTGCAATGACTGTTATGACTGTGACCGCTCTGGTGACCGACACTATTTCCCTTCTATTACGGTAAGGACTTCACGTGGCAGTCAGCTTCATGAGCCATCAAAGAAAGCCCCAGGCGATCAGGAACATCAACAAATTTCAGGCCACTCTTCTGGCTACATGTCCCGTTTGCCTGCAGTGGGACACAGTCCTGTGAGGGTGAAAAGCCAGACACACAGAGAAACTGCTTACCACAGCATCGGCCTCACTCATCCTGGGGAACCACGTTGCCTGAACCCTTTGTCTGTCTCTGGTTTTGTTCTTGTTTTGAGTCAGGGTCCTAGGATATAGCCCTCCTTGGCCTGGTGTTCAGCACGTAGTAGCCTAGGCTGGCTCCTACCTCAGCTTCACAAATACTGGGATTACAGGTTTGGGTCCCCACGTTGGATGGGCCTCTCGCCTTGCCGTCTAGACAGGAAAAGCAGTTTAGGCCCTGCTCATCCGGGCTGAATTCCAGCCTCCCTTTCCTCGCCACACAGGTGCCGGTCGGTGCACACCTGCCCGAGCCAAGGCCAGGCCACGCCCAGGCCTCTCTGCTTTAGAGTGGTACACGAGGCACAAACAGCCCACCCTTTCCTCCCAAGGCAGGCTGCAGGCGGGAGAAGGGTTCTGGGCTAGGAATCTAAGCCAGCTCTGTCGGCTCCTGGGCCCAGACCGGGTCCTCTGGGCTAAGCTTGGGACTTTGTACATCTGGATTCACTCTGTCCGTCAGTCCCTTCTCACAGTCAACCCCTCCCTGGCCCTCAGGGCCTCAGCGGAGCAGCCTTTTCCAGACTGCCCAGACTGTGGTGTCTGTAGCCGCCAGTCATATTCCCGGGTCCCACTGTACTGTGCAGACAGCATTCACTGTCTGTCACCTTGAGCACTGCCTGGAGCCTTAGCACCTGACCCTGCAGCCGCCCTCAGTTCTGTATAACCTTCTTGTACACTGTGAAGATGTGTCTTCGCCAAGGCACCTTCGGGTTGGTTTAATAAAGAGCTGAATGGCCAATAGCTAGGCAGGAGTGGATAGGGAGGATTCTGGGCAGAGGGAGGAACTCAAGATGAATTAGGTGTGCCAGAGATGCCAGCAAGACATTGCAGAAATTGGACATACCAAGAGGTAACCGAGCCACGTGGCCGAACGTAGATTAATAGAAACAGGTTAATTATGTTATAGGAGCTAGTCGGGGAAAAGCCTAAGCTAAGGCCAAGTTTTCATAATTAATAACAAGTCTCTGTGTCATTATTTGGGGCTGGCGGGCCAAGAAAGTCCAAATACAGTCATCAGCAAAGATTCCCTTCAGAGAGCCCTGGAGTAGTGTTCCAGGCACGTAGCTAGCCTCTGCCTCAAGTTGGGTAATTCAGCAGCCAAACCAACTGTTTCCTTCCTGATTTCACCCGAGCTCTGTTACCTCCAGGCCTATCACAGTCCCCACTAATTCTAACGCTAGCACTGGATAATGAATGACAAGGTCCTAAGGGGAGGGGAACCTAGAGCAGGTGGCCTGGGACAGTGTTAATGGATCTGTGAAGCAGAGACCATGCCACTTCCATGCTGGAGGGGAGGACACAGGACCAGAGAGGCTTGCCACATGTCACTTGACAGTGAGTAACCTGAGCTATCAAGACTGCAAAATGCAGCTGTGACAATAGAGAGGTTGCACTGGCAGTGGGGTGGTTTGCACTGGCAGTGGGGGTGGTTTGCACTGGCAGTGAGGTGGTTTGCACTGGCAGTGGGGTGGTTTGCAACTGGCAGTGGGCAGGTTGCACTGGCAGTGGGGGTGGTTTGCACTGGCAGCGGGCAGGTTGCACTGGCAGTGGGGTGGCTTGCACTGGCAGTGAGGTGGTTTGCACTGGCAGTGGGGTGGTTTGCACTGGCAGTGGGAGGGGTGGGTTGCACTGGCAGTGGGCAGGTTGCACTGGCAGTGAGGTGGTTTGCACTGGCAGTGGGAGGGGTGGGTTGCACTGGCAGTGGGGGGTGGTTTGCACTGGCAGTGGGGGGTGGTTTGCACTGGCAGTGGGAGGGGTGGTTTGCACTGGCAGTGGGAGGGGTGGGTTGCACTGGCAGTGGGGGTGGTTTGCACCGGCAGTGGGGGTGGTTTGCACTGGCAGTGGAGGTGGTTTGCACTGGCAGTGGGGGTGGTTTGCACTGGCAGTGGGAGGGGTGGTTTGCACTGGCAGTGGGGGGCAGGGACCAAGTGAGGGAAGGTTACCTCAGCCAATGAAGGGCCCTTAGAGACCAGCCCACCAACACAGGGAAACAAAGGCCCAGAGAAGCCACATCAAAGGCCTCATGGGAGAAGGGCTGGCAGAGCCCAGGCTGCCCCCCCCCCATGCCTCTCACCTTGCGCCAGAGCAGCTGCGCCTGTGGTGGACCGGTGCCCTCGATCTCATGGCGCATGCTGTTGAAGAGGGAGACACCATATTGGTCCTCGTAGAAACGGAGGAACTCTCTCAGGATCTTCTCAGTTTTCTCTGAAAGGGAAGCATGCAAGAGAGTGTGAGGCCTAGGGAAGGTGTGTGGACACCTAGGGAATCAAGTCTGCAAAGTCCTGCGTGAAGAACTGTTCACGCGATGCACAAATGCCCTTTCACCCAAACTGGGACTGGTCACCTTGGTCTCTCACACGCTAGGCAAGGGCTTTGGTTGTGAGCGGTCTGCACAGTGGCCACCCACTCCTGACAGGAAGCTGGTCAGTGGCCACACAGAGAGAAAGGAAAACCACATCCAACAGGCCTAGGAGAGTCTCGGGCTCACTGGCAACCAGCACCAAGTGAGTCCGCTTTCCCCCTGGGTGGACAGGGTGTGGTGAGTGGGCACGGGTTCCCTACAGGGCTGCATGCTCCTTTTGATGCCTTGCTCACACCTAGGATACCATGTAAGTGGGCATGGACCAGCTAATGTGCAGAGGTGGAACTGACCAGCACAAACCAGTCCACCCAAGACAGAAAAAAGCCAGGCTATGGTGGAAGTGACTGGTAGACCCTGTGAAGACAGCTGGAAAGCAATGGTCTCATACGCTGAACACAGTCTCTGAGCAAGAATGATTCCTATTGGCGAAAGGTGTGGCGGCCATGGGCTCGGGCTTTCCCGTGCAGGGATTGGGGGGTGCAGAAAGCCTCCTCACTTTCATATATTTGAGTCATTTACTCATGATTCAAATTCATCTACCAAGTTAACCCTTTTTTCTTCTTCTTTTGAGACAAGAGCACATGTAGCCCAGGTTGGCCTCTAACTCTTTACATAGCCAAAGCTGACTTTGAACTGATCCTCCAGGCATGAGCCACCAAGCCCTGTTTAAAGGTCAGGGGTCAAATCCTGAGATTCATGCAGGTTAGGTACACACTCCACCAACTGAGCTATTGTTGCATAATATTAATGTAAGACGTGTTACATTCATTTATGCTGTGGAACCTTTGTTTAATGATGCAAAGATGTGCTGCATTCTTTTATGTTGCATTTGTTTAACTCTGTGAAGCTGTGTTACTGTGCAGCCAGGACAGCCCCAGGGCCCGGGGTGAAAGTCACTCGGTGTCTTTTCACACAAAGTGAACATAAGTCACCCAAGGGAGATGGGACCACAGCTCCGGAGAGGAAGCAGGAAGCCTAGGGAAGGAGAAGCCACGGGGCCCACGGAAGAAGTGGAGAGAAGGGCAGAAATGGTGTGGGATGGGGGCATGGCTCCACTGAATGATGTGAAAAAGAGGGCACACTCATGCATCCAAGAACAGAGTGCCCGGCGGGAGCCCTGCTGCCCCTGACTGCAGTCCCAGGCACACTCCTCTACTTGACCTCAGGAACCATAGCAAACGTGACCCAAATCTGGCAAACCCTTTGCCAGCTGATCTTCCAGAATCAACCAGCACACGAGAAGGCGGGGCCCTCTTGCTACATATCTGCTCCCATTTCTGGAGCGGACGGGACGGGATGGACTAGGGACGGCAGCTGGTGTTGAGGTTACAGACCTCCCATGTGGGTGGGGAGAAAGCGGGTTGTCCCTTACTGGGCCACGCACAGCGGGGGCTTGACGAAGGGAAGGGACCTAGGGGTGGACCAGTGACCAAATGGTTATTGAGCAACGACAAGGATGGCTGGGGTCTCAGCATCGGGACCCGCGAGCAGCCGGGCAAGTGGCAGCAAAGGTGGTCTGTGAGCTGGCACCCCAGGCAGAGCTGGAAGAGGCTGACAGTAGTGGCAGAGCCCAGTCAGCCTGAGAAGAACTACCACGTGCCTGGTACTGAGGAAGTGCCCCCAAACACAAGGGATGAGAAGCTGGACCTTCAGGGGGCAAAGGGGACCCCAAAGATCAGCAGCACTCCGTTGTTCTAACCTGGACTTAAGGCTCTCAGAGCTGCATGGGAGAAGACATGAGTCAGTACACGGGCCTGGCTCAGGCCTTACCTCCCTGCCAGAGGGCTCTGCAAGCCCAGGCAGTCCCCTTTCCTTGGGGGCCCTTCACGGTGTCCACCCTGTAAATGCTACTTAGCACCCCTTTAGATACAGTTGTGTTTAACTGTATACCCCAGGCTGGCCTGGAACTCACTCTGTAGCCCAGGCTGGCCTGCAATTCCCATCAGTTCTGCTTTTACCCTCCTGAGTGTTGGAATTACAAGCGGGAGCCACCAAGGCCACTGCTTTTGTCAACTGTTGCCCGAGGCTAGCTCCAGAGAGCGTCAGAGGATTCCATGACTCAGCATCCAGCCTAGGATCTGCGGGAGGTACCTAGGGCTGGGGGAGGGGTGGACCTCTCTCTACACCTGCCCACATCAGCTCTTCCAATCTCTCCATGGCCTCTAGAGACACTCCAGTGCATGGATTCAGGGTTTCCGAAGCCAAGGCTCACAACCCTGAGGACTGCTCTGACCAGTGGGTGTAGGGGGCTGGCTAGATCACACAGGAGATGGAGACGGTCAGGATCCGAGTGGGCTCCGACCGCTGTCCACAAAACCTCAGAGGGCAGTGAGGAGGCAGCCTGTGGCCCCACCCGAGGAGAGAGGACCAGCCTCAGGGGCCCAGAACCTGGAGGCTAGTACAACAGGTACAGAGGCGTGGGTGGGCAGGTCTGTGGGCGTGGGCTGGCCTCACCTCCTGTGCGCTGACTCAGCTCAGATGCCGCTGCCTAAGGAGCTGTGGGAACCGTGGAAACTGATGGGCCCGCCCTCCAGCTTCCCGTGAGAGGGAGGCTTGGGGCTGCCCAGTTCTCTCAGACCCTCGCCCTTCATAGAAGCCAGGCATCACAGAGCCCCTCACAGGGGCAAACAGGATGTGGACAGGGCAGGTTATGGACAGCGCCACATGCACAGCCCAGGGCACCAAAAACACTAGTCTTAATTATAACAGTGCTCAGCTTGTAACTATGGAGGCAAGAGGTGGGCTGAACCACTCATTACCAGGGAGAGAGAGAGAGAGAGAGAGAGAGAGAGAGAGAGAGAGAGAGAGAGAGAGGGGGG